AAAAAAGTCACCCCCAGGGGCTGGAGATATGGCCCAGTAGCTTAGAGTATTTGCTGTTCTTGCAGAGGATCCTGGTTCAATTCGCAGCACCTACATGGTGGCTCAAAACCACCTGAAAATCTAATTACAGGGGATCTGCTTGTCGGTTATTTGGGAACTGGTTGGCAGGAAAGAAAGTCCACCATCATTTATAAATTAGGCACACATGTGGTGTACATGCATACATGCCAGCACAACATTCATACATATTTTTTTTTTAATTAAGGCTACAGGGGGGCTGGAGAGATGGCTCAGAGATTAAGAGCACTGGCTGCTCTTCCAGAGGTCCTGAGTTCAATTCCCAGCAGCCACATGGTGGCTCACAACCATCTCTAATGAGATCTGGTGCCCTCTTCTGGCCTGGAGTCATACATGCAGACAGAATACTATATACGTAATAATAAATCTTAAAAAAAAATTAAGGCTACAACTAGGTGGTGGTGACACACACCTTTAATCCTAGCACTCAGGAGGCAGAGGCAGGCTGATCTCTGTGAGTTCGAGGCCAGCCTGGTCTGCAAAGAGAGTTCCAGCCTCAAAAATAAAAAACAAAACAAAATAAACAATTGAAGGTTCCCCCCAGCACCTGGTGCTCTGTGGATGCATTGACAGCGCAGATGAAACATTGTGGAGATCCAGAGTGTCCACATCTGAGCAGAATCTTACCTCTCACATGGGCACAGAAATTCACACAGATACACATATACACACACAAACTTAAGAAAAGAAAGCTTTTAAAAATTAATAAAACAGCAAATAAAATAATAAATAATTTAACAAATAAATGTATAATAATTAATATTTTATAATTTAACAAATAAATAAAAAAGGGGCTCAGAATGTAACCAGTCCTAGAGTACTTACTTGCCCAGCATATACAAGGTGCTAGGGTCGATCACTGAACAAAACAAGACAAAACGAAAAATCAGGCAGTCTCATTCATTACAAACTGGAAGGGCAAGCAGAAAAAAGATGAACACCTTTGCCCTCTCTCCTCTGAATTTCCTGGACATTAAAATATTTGGAGCTGACATTGTTGAGGCAGGGAGGCAGGCAATGATTTTCTTGCTATTGCTGTATGGTCCTTGTGAGTTTCAAAGCCAAGACATGCAAAGAACTTTCAGTATTTTTGATTTGGGGCTGTGTCCCCTGGGCTCTGGGAATGCAGAGGTGTCTCCCACTCAAGGGTGGAAAGAACTTGAAGATCTGGCTCTGGACAGCAAGAGAGCATTGGTGACCCCAAGGCCTCCCGGAGATTTGTTGTAACACCCCACCCCCATTTCCAGCTGAGCCTGCCCTCTGGTGGTCATCCTCACCCTCCTCTTCCTGTTGGAAAGACACAAACCACCAACTGCAAACTCAGAGGTTGAAAGATCTCTTTTGGATCTTTCTAGAAAGAATTAGCAATGACCCATTTTTAAGAGGTAGCAATCCCAAGGCACAGGCAGAGACAGGGCCTTGAGTCTTGTTGCAGGATTCTCCAACCATCCTGACCCCCTTGAAGCCTCCTGATTTGTGTAATTATACAGAAAATCTTGGCCATTTCAGGCCACATCTGGGTCCAATTGAACCATTTCTGGAGTGTGAAGAGAGGCCCTCCAGCCTGTTTGGGTGGGGCAGGGACTCCTAGACCCCTGGAGGGCTGGGAGGATGAAAAGGAAGGAGAGAGCTCATCAACTTGCACAAATATCTCCAAATCCTGTTGTTTTCTGTTGTGGCTAATTTACAAATTAGAAAAGCAATGCATAGTCAATGTACTAAAAAAGGGGGGGGGCAAGACTCTGACAAACCGATGGCTGAAGTCTGAATCTCATCACCACAATTTACTGTTTGATCCTGAACTTGTTAATCTCTGGGTTCCTCAGTTTCCCCATCA